ATGTCTACACGAAGCACTGACCCTCGGCTCCCACGGGCTGCCGCCGCGCCGCGAACGTGCCGCCGCTCCACTCGGGTAAACTTCGGAGTGAGTTACCTGCACTTGGAGAAGGGCCTTACCTGAACGCGCCTCTGCCAATGGCAGCTCACCTGAGGCCTCCCCGCAGCCAATCACCGCGCAGCTCGTCCCTCGGGCTTGTACCCTTTAGTAAAAGAATTCAGCTCCTTGCGAGAAAGTTACCTGTGGCCGACCCGGTCCGCCACTTTCGGCTCGGTGACTGCCCATTGCCACGATCCCGGAGGACCCCGCGCCGCCCGGCCGCCTCCGAAAGCGCGGGCCCCATGTGAGGGGCCCCCCCTTATCCCACCTTTCCGGCTAGGTGAGGGCGCGAGCGGGCGAGCGAGCGAGCGTGGTGCGGGGGGACGGAAAAGCAGAATTACCTGTAGCTCTTGTTCTGCCATCTCGGGCGCTCTCACACACCTTCACCTGCACAGACTTGAAAGTCCAGTTTCACCAGAGGCTGAGGCTCCAGGAAAAGGGGAGCGAGTTCATTGGATCAAACATGTCACAAGAGTCGGACAAGTAAGTGGATCACACGCGCCGGCTGCTGCTACTACCACTTTGGGCTGATGGCAACTGGTTTGTTATGTTTTTGCTTTTTTTTTTTTTTTAAGTTGCTATTGTTCGTATTTTTTTTTCTTTCTTTTTTTCTTTTTGGTGTGTCCAGACTTTTTTTTTTTTCCTTCAGATTAAGTTTCTACCCTGGTTAAGGGGAGAAACCCTACAAGAATGTGAATGTTTAATACCCGGTTTGGGCCTTGATGGTGAAAGTAGGTTTTCTTCTTTCCTCCCTTCCTCCCTGACGAAGGACCTCCACCCCCGGCTCCCCGACGAGCACTTGGGTAGTGACAGAGGTTGGGGTAGCCGAGAGCGGGAGGCCTGCTCTTCCCCTCTCCTTAGTTGCTCCCACCTCTGCAGGCTTCTCCGGCCATTTGGAAACTCAGCTGGGTTCCTTCGATTCGCCCCAAGGGCCCGCTGCAAAAGCGGGTCTTGGCGGCTTTTGTGTGAGCGCAACAAAGAGCCTTTATACTGAAGCAGAAACGGCCATCTTCCCCTTCCCGCACTGGGGCCGAGGGTGTGCGTGTGCGCGCCCC